AGAGATGAAGCCTCAAAAAAACATGGGACCGCAATAATTTTATAAAGGGCCAGAGGGCTACAGGAGGGCATACGAGTATAAAAGACATGCCATTTCAAGCCAATAAGAAGCAGTTAAAAAGGTGCAAGAAAAGACAAAGTTGCATAAACATGAACCTTGCTAGAGTGTCTGCCTTCACAGAGGCCCTGTCCCAGCAGTGCTTCCTGAACAGTGGAGGAAGATGGCTTGCAGCAGATTGTTTATGTTTAAATTGTGAAGTATTTCATACTATAGTGGAATCAGATTTCTAAAGCTGACAGATCTGGACTGCACTGGACGTGGATGTTTTCCAGAACTTTTATATCCTGTTTTTAAATATTTAATGATTTTATTGATTTTTTGTTACTTCTCCCCTTTTCCCTGTGATCTTGATCTTGCCAACCACATTTTTGCCTCTAAGGTACTTTTTAAGGACAAAACCTATGAGATTGGCAATGGATTACTGTTCTGTTATAAAAATGCTTAGAATCTCAAAAACTAAGGTTTAACACTTAGATTTTTCCATTAGAATGTAAAATATGTAGTAGAAATTCTAATGCAAATGCTATGAAGTTTAGTATTAATTATGCAATAGTAGTTTTTTATCTTTAGGAAAAAACATGTAGAAACTGGTAAGAGATTTTTTACTTAAACAAGAAATAGCTACTATTTTTTCTAATTCTAAGACTTTAGCAAGAATATCAACTACAGTTAAATATAGGACTTATTAAAAGAGAACCAGGAATTTTCCATAAAATGCTGCTTTAATAGTCTGTTGTTTAATGAAAAAGGACATAAAAACTGCCTCCTCATGAACCACAATGAGGAATGTATTACTTTTTTGAGTTTGGAGACGAGCAGTTTCTGGAATGTTAATGTGACAGTAACATGCATCTATACTTCAGCAAGTGTCAAGGAAGAGACCAAGGAGAATCTCCTAGCTTACCCTGAACATGAAACAGTTCATCCTCTTCCACCCAAGTCTCTTTTTCTTCAACTCCATTAGAGCTGTTCCACTTGCCTTTGGGTACTCTGAGGAGAGAGAGAGAGAGAGAGAGGACAAGGTATAAAACTGTCAAGGAAAGACCAAGGAAAATCTCCTAGCTTACCCTGAACATGAAACAGTTCAACATCTTATACCCTAGTCTCTTTTTCTTTATCTCTATTAGAGCTGTTCCACTTGCCTTTGGGTACTCTGAGGAGAGAGAGAGAGAGAGAGAGAGAGAGAGGACAAGGTATAAAACAAATTCATCCTGGGTCATCCTATATTCTGCCCTTGGCTCACTCGCGGTCCTATATTCCTCCTTGTTTTGCTGTGACCACATTGAAGATTCACCTACACACAACTCCCAAATCCTGACCTGGCCAGGTCTCTCCATGTCTTCATCCCCCAGGCTGCAGGACCACTCCTCAAACTCAGCACTGAATACATCACTGTCCTCCTCAAAATATTTAAGGTCTGGGTATTTCATAAATGAGTAATGGAAGCAATTTGCTTAATAAGTGCAGACTTGAAAAAAAAATCTTGAGTTTCATGAATTTACTATGAAATTACCTAATGGGCTGCACTATTTCCTTTGTTGTTAAATTGGATTATATCCCCAACAATGTTTTTTCTAAGAATAATTTGCTGGAGACAAAGTGAAGGATGTTTTTCCTTCTCAGGGTATTAGCAGTGTTGATTACTACGAATAAATAAAAGTAGGTTTAAGTTTTATATCCACATATTTGAGTGCTGGGATAAAATTGATTTTAACTTCTGGGTCCATTATTTTCACTCAGGTAGCTGTTTGCTCTTCCTGCAGACTTCCTGCAGATCGGTTTGGTAGCCTCCTGCTCCTCTGAACTTGGCATTTATTATGTGAACAAATGCTTTGGTACTTCCTAATTTCTCATGTTGTGGAAGGGGCTGAGATCTGAGTCCTCACCTTAACTGTTAGTGGCTGTGTGATTCCAGGCAAGTGAGGTCACTTCTTGGTGTTTATGCTCCTCACTGGTGAACTTAGAATTTGAGGAGCAGTGGTCTAGAGGGGTAAGCAAACTACAGCCTGTGGTTGCTGGTTTTTGAATAGCCCTTGGACTAAGAATGATTTTTACATTTCAAAGGGTAATGCAACAGAGACACAAGTGGTCCACAAAGCCCAAAATCTTAACCCGTTGCTGGCCTTTTAGAGTTTTATGTATGACCCCTTAAATTGCAAGAACCAAAATCATTTTATTTGGTTAATAAATATCTAGTAGGCACTTGTTCTGTGCCAAGTGCTGTGGAGGATATAAAACTCTAGTAAGTTATGGCCTGGCCTCCAGGTGGTACACCCTAATCCTGCCTTCCCCTCCGACTTGCCCTGGTCCAGCCTCCCCCAGGTCTCAACTGCTCATCTGGCAGCCGTGTCCAGCCACTCTCCTCTCCATTCCCTCAGTGGTGTCTTATCAGGCCTAAAGATTAGTTGAATTAGATTTGGGGCATACTTAGAAAAGCAGATGACAGAGCATTCCCCTGCCCCTTCTAATTCAGTAGTCAGGAGCCTGAGAATTTTTT